CCGACCATCCGGACATCAGGAAGAGGACCAACGCACGAGTCTGATAAACCGCTTAATTATGAGAAGTCCCTATCACTCTGGTGTTTTGCTGAAGATTTCAAAGCCGTATTTACCTTTGTACCACAGAAAGAGGTATGGAGTCGACCTCTTAATCATGTTCTTCAAAAATCAGCGGCTAGAACGGACACAAGTCCAAATAGCTTCAAATTGTTCGTTTGCTTCTTTTTCTGCTTTGTTGATGAGGTGACTAACAACGTTAGATGGATACGTCGATTTCTTAGCCACACTACGGCCCTATGCAATGGCATCCAAGATGACAGTTGTCTTGCATACAGTTTCTCGAGTCTGAATTCAGACGTACTGTTCAGGGGAGGGGTCTTCATCACCGCTACGGTACTGCCTACCCGGATTCATCTTTCAGTTGATCTCGTGATAATCCAGACTTCATTTGAATAAACTGGTCTCAACCTGCAACTTCTTGCACGGTCTTCGGACAGTGACTGTCTCTGCAGTCCGACTGGCGTCATTACTTGGTCGTAGATCGTCATCAGCCCTTTTCGTTCCACTGCAGGAACAAGGCTTGTTTGAGGCTTAGTTACAAAATTTTGACGTCTATGATTCTCATCTACTCTGTCCAACAAAGTTGCTCAACTCTCCTGCCTTCGATCTGGAGGTCTTCTCACTGTAGAGCTGTACGCCTCTTCAAATTCAGTGCAGCATTTCTTTGGTCCAGGGATGGTTGCTTGTTCTGGCAAAATCTCTTGCCATTTCAACTTCTTCGCTGGCGTATTGCTATCGCAGGTTCTTGTTTGTGTTTTTATCCATTCGTTCGTCTTCCTATTCTGTTCTCCTTATTCCAAACATACATTATTCCATACTCCTTTGCATAGTCTCTATTTTGTGAACATGTTCCATATGTAGGGCCAACTTTTTGCATTTATGCTTTAGTACTGGCTATAGACCTTTCATCCTTCTGTTCAACTCCCAAATATAAACATTTTTAAACTTCCAAAAGTGCTACGTGTCTCTGTTCTTCTTCTGATGATTTCACAGAGACGGTTCTCAGTGCAGAGTATAACTGTCCACAGGTAGACATTATTTTGTATACCTCTTCAAGCCTAAGTCC